TAAAATATCGGTTGTTTTATTGGCAGAAGAGGCACTAATGTCGTTGGGATGGGAACACGTTTCCACGAACGATGCTTCGTTTGTGATCTTCGTGCCAAAAACGGCGGTAGAAAGCATCCGGCGCGCTGTCGCCTCCTTGCGACAGGCGACCTCTCCACGCATCGTTTACCCCGGCGTTTGACGTGCGGCGAACTTGTATTGTGCTATTTAGGTTCGCACAACGGTCTTCTGTCTGTGAACGAACTCCCGAATCTCAGAACGTTTTCTGAGAAGTTCCGGAGGCGGAGTACTTGGGCTGTGGAGTTTAAATACTGCATTTTGATTGGACGCGTTACGGCGTCGAGGGGTTATCGTATCTAAGAAAAATTGTATAACCAATTATAAATAAACTATACAGCAAGCTGTAAACTAATTGAAATTTTTTTTAACGTAATTTGTTCGCGCTTCTAGTACTTTGTTATGCATCATTGCTTGAAAGCGAATGTATCTTAGAAGACGTCATTAATCAAATTTCTCTTTTAACGATAGCAATCTTTTCAATGTTATTCTCATTAAAATCTAAACTCAAATTCATTCAAATCAGATAAACATCACAGTTAACTATGACCAATTGTTGACTAGTTATTTATTGTTTATGAACATTTTATCGACCATTGTTCGCTGTTCTCCAGTTATTTTGCACTTAACTATTGTTATAACGCAATAATGGAACGGTCTTTCGAACAATATTTTTCCCTTTAGCGTTCTCGTCAACGCAATAATTTAATAAATAGATACTACACGAGTACATAGATAAAATGTTGTCCAATCATAGCTAGTATTGCTAGCGACTATACAATGTTTATACGTTGCAACTTCAGCAAGGCGATCGTACATCGACGTCGGACAAAACGATACAGGCGCATCGTATTTATCCTTAACAGTCTGCTGCGCTTTCGAACTGATTCCAAACGATATCTCCTGGCGGTCCATCCTATGTTTGAACGAAATAATCGGATACGCTCCATAAGCGTTCAACCTCCGTGTTTCGTTAAGTCTCTTACGTTTGATTCTAATATTTTATGATCATTATTATTAGAATAAATGTAATGCCATTTAAAGAAACAGGTTTTTGCAACAGGCAATAGGTTTTTTTTTTGTTTTGCATGGAACGTAAACATAAAAAGACAAAAATTCCATATATTTTTGGGAGGCACTAACTCCAATAAATCCGCATGAGTACGCAGAGGAATTCAACAAAGGTTCATTACAACCGTATGGATGGTTCAGGATTGCAAAACGCTCAAAACAAACACACTAAAACATTTTTTTGTTAAGAAAAACAAGAGGATATATTGAAATGAAAAACACTTGATGCTGTTAAGTAATGAAATTAGTTACTTATAATTACTTGTAGAATAAGGTGTATTATGTTGATTCGAAGTATATCAAATTTTGTTAATGAGTTTTCTTTCAAACATGCCCAAGGTAATAACTTGATCATAGGCAGACGTGTGAAGTGTGTAAGTTAATTGCTACTGATGAATGGCGCAATCTTATGCGACTCGCGCCAAGAAACCTCTCCATCGCCATCGGGCAGACTAAGAAATATATGTATAATGAGATACGTCAAAGTGTTCGCTTAATACGCGCGTCTTCGCGACGTTTGTCGGTTTCATATAGGATAGTTAATGATGTATGTACATGCTCATCAACTTGATTGGTCCCTTGGCGTTGCTACTAATATGGAGCTATCGCTAATTAGAAACGGGGACACCAATTGAATCTGACGATATTTTGTTTTTCACTTTTATTTTTGTATTCAAAAGTAAAAGTGAAAAATGGATAGTTTGTTTTGTTACTTAGAGATGTTTTTATTTTATGACTCAGTGGCGCCGTTGCTAAGCTGTTGGCTACTGCGTCGGGGGTCAAAGGTTCGATTCCCACAGGGGATAAGTATTTGTGCGACCCAAATATAAAATTGTTTCGGATCTGGGTGTTTGCTTCCCAAGGAGGGTCAGTCAAGCGGTCGTAATAAACCTAGCCAAAACCGCTTACAGCATAATTCACATGTGCCGACCCAACCTTGGTGGGATAAGTGCACGAGGTTGATGATGATTTTTTTCTTTTATTCAATGTTATAAAACTACGTGTAATTAACGTAAAATATTAAATTTTTCCTCGCTCCTTTGTTTTAATACCATGTGGCCGAGTATTTAGGTTCTGTATTATGGCCCGCATTAATTAAATTTTAAAATTAAAAAATGGTCTGTACTAAAGTGTGAGTGAAAACAGTACCTATACTGTTTATTTTTCGAATGCGAGTTTTACGTCTGCTCTTTTTGTGTATATGTAAATTAATTACTTAAAGTGCTTAATTTTAAGCACTTTTAATAATTATATTTCTACTTTGTATACAACGGATGCTAACTTGTTTTTTTTTTACTTCTCTGTCCTGTGTCTGCCTATGTACATAATATAATTGTATTATAATTGTTCTTGTAACATTTATTTGCTTGATCTTAGTGAGATAAATGTTTTGGTGTTTGCAGATAAGCCTAAGACCCCCACAAGCCTGTTGGCTTGTGTGGGTCTTATCGTTGGCCTAATAAAATAAATTTTCGTTGCTGAAATGTGATACAAAGATCTTGCTCTGAGAAATGGCGTTAACGCAGGTGGCTGTGTTCACACCTATCTAGATTTCATCGCCCCTAATAATCCAAAGGATTTAGTTTCGGAAAATATTTCATGTGAACAATCTTCCTAGGAATATCGTGGTATGCGTCTAAAACATATTTGATAGTTATGAAAATTTTTATTAACAATTTGGATTAATATATTTAATTCAGTATATATATTGAAAAAATATTAAATAAAAAGAGTCGAAGCTTTCACTTCTTAAAATCATTGCTAAAGTTTCGTTTTTACGATATATACTAATGACTATCCTCATCATCATCATTTCAGCCTGTTTGAGTCCACTGCTGAACATAGGCCTCCCCCATAGACTGCCACGAAGTACGATCCTGAGCCACTTGCATCCATCGACTTCCCGCACATTTGCACAGGTCGTCACTCCAATGAATGACTATAGTTTAGTGTAATGTGAACTCCCGCTTTTTTTTCCACATTTAAGAGGACTATGTGTACCTTTTTGTCCTTGGTATAGCATAAACTCTAGGGTATTACCCTAGTAAGATATTTAATCGTTTCAGGCAGGTAATGCGAAAGCCAAGTACGTGGTAATACAGCACCTTGCCAGCCAGATCTTATGTAAAGATCTTACTGAGGAATAATGCATGATGTTTTTTTTATACTAAAAAGTGTCAAGCGAGCAAGCGATTCACTTGATGTTAACAAATTACCACCGCCCATGGACATGTATATCACCAGAGGGCTTCTGGTGACCTTACTCACCAAAGATTAATATTTTCACTTCTTGAAACTATATTACTATATTTTTGAAACATTAATTTTTGGTTCTTGGTAGGGGACGAAGATAGGTATTTTTAATTTCCAACACCGTAGCTAGTAGGCTGTTACGTCGGAATTTGTCTAGTAAGCGAAATTAATTAAAAGTTACCGGCCATTAGCGTAGTTTGATCGAGTCGCGCGCGCCTCGTGTGCGCTTTAATTTTCCTAAAGCGAGAGCCATTTATCTTGTGCGATATTGTCGACGCAGTGGGAAGTGACAAAATGATCGGTTGTAGACGCGCCCTGTTTATGATTAAAAGTAGATACCAATCGATCTCATACTCTGTACGCTTTATAAACGTTTAAGGCCACAATTAACTTTTTTTATTGATAAGTACATTTGCAGATAAATAAGAGTTAACCCTTATTGTCGTACCTCATCTTGTGTAATCACTTCCTAATTACGTCACATCCTAATTAAATTCCTAATTACTTTTTAGGCGCAACTTTACCAGTTCACTTAACAAAATATTACTAACCATTTACTCTTGTGGTAAACTTTCATAAAATACCCACAAAACTTAAAACTAATTCCAATATCAATTATAGATCTGATATAGCTATCTCGATCGATAATTTCATCTTTTGTCTTTCCAACAATGCTTACCAGCTTCTAGACGAGTATTACCCACATACTTAACGCAAAATGTCTAATGCGTCCCTAATAGCCCCCGTGGCACTAATATAATGTATTTATGTGTATATAAAGTCCTTTTGTTTGTTTGTCTTTTTCTTTTTTAATCAATATTATTGATTATTTAATAATTTTTACTTGCATTTCTTTCTTTCTGTTGGTCAATATTTGCCAGAAATTCTAACAGTGTTGCACAATTTTTTTTTTTTTTTTTTAATTATAATTTAATTTTTATTATTTAATTTTAGTTTATTTTATTCTGGTAATATTTTCACAAGTTTGCGCATCTACCCGCACCTTCCTCACATTCCTAGCATCGAAATGGCTCCACAGAATACCAGCATTGCGGAACTGTCCGTATTTTTTTGCTGAGTGGAGACCATTTTTTGACATAAACTCACAGCACAATTCATTCCTTATTACATATACACTATGCATTTTTTTTTTTCCTTCAAAGGTTTCTATATGTCTTTTTGTTTCTTTATTAATAATTGTTTATATTTGTAACTTTGTGTACTTATTTTGTTTTCCTTTTTTTTTTTAACTTGCTTTTTTTTTGTTGAAACGTTGTTATTTTTTTATTTATCAATATGTTATGTTCATGTAATTTTTTTTTTTTTGAATCTTTTGTGCTGTTTGTTGGTTGTCAAAATAAAGTTTATGTCTATGTCTATGTCTATGTCAATTTACTTTTGGGCTCAATTACGAATAACATAATAGGCCGTTTCGGAATCATATTAGTTATTACCTATGATAAGAGTGACGCATAAATTCCAAGGAATTTATTGTTAGAAGCGAAGTGTGCAAAAGGAATGGTTTGAGGTTTTCAATGTTTTATCATATAGTTTAAAAAATGTTGATTCCATAACATTAAATAAATGATATGCGTAGTCCGTAATGTGGCCGCGTGGCGATGTATCCCGTAGCATTTTTTTACGGGAGAGACTTACCCAGGAGCCCCACTCGTAGGTATATTGTATTAACGCTTGTACTTTAAACTTTTTATTCTGTAAATGTTAACGTCATATCTTCAGATGATTTTTCTACTGTTCAACTGATACATTTAAATTTGGGAGTCGGTAATGGCGGCCGGGGTATTAGAGATGTGGATCTCACTGGCTTGCACGTACGAGGTTACGATTATAAGCGTTTTTACGATTATAGGATTTGTTTTATGTGAAAATCATTGTCTTAGATTTGCGCCCAGTTAAAACGGTGACACGGACCTCTGGTATAATTTCAATAAGTGCACCTCTATTTACCAAGTTATATTTGGTATTTATGTGAAGTTTGCATGCTAACTTTTATTCCGTCCTTTGCAGAAAACAACCGAAGACGTTCGCGTTCGACCACTGCTTCTACTCGCTGGACTCGGCGCTCCCCAACTTCGCGTCCCAGAAGACGGTCTTCGAATGCCTCGGGCGGGACATCCTCGACAACGCCTTCGACGGCTACAACGCCTGCATCTTCGCCTACGGGCAGACAGGTGAGCGTGCCATTCGGCAATATCGCACCCGATGTATCGAGATAGATATCCGATTGCCTCTTCCGAGGGATCCGATATAAAATAATGTATACTCCAATTAATTCAATCTCGCCGCCCCTTTCATACTTTTATCCACTTTGCAGTAATTTGCGGACCGGAATCTAATGTTATTACGTAAATTACGTCGAACTGATCGCTATGAATATTTAATGTTTCGGAAAGATAGACGTTAATGATCCTTATGCTGTTCTCTTCTTTATAATTACACTGTAATGTTTCAATTAAAATAACCCTAATTGTACTTTTGTTCGCAATTATAATTGACCACAAAATTTTGAAAATTGGCTATTTGGAATAACCTTAACCATGATTGAGATCGTGTTCAATTTGTGTTCGTGTTTGTTTATTTTCATCTCAGATATTAAGTTTTAGTACGTGTTTATTTTTTTCTTATTTTGAATTGTAAACATATTTTCTTAGGTCGGACTAGAACTAAATAAATAATTTAATTTCCTATTTGTCCTTAAAACATTACGTACCTAAATTGTTTAGTATAACGTGTGTATCAAACCATGATTCAAGTAAGTAGGAAGGTATCTAAACAAAATTTCTCGGTAATTATATTAGTGTTACTAATAGGTTTAGATAGTTTATTCAAGAATATCTATTATTTTATTTAGAAGTCCGGCTAGAACGGTTTCTTAACTTGTTTTTCCTAATTAGTGGTTGCGCGTATACTTTTGATTGATCACCCCCTGTCATAGGGATTAAACATGATTCATCAAGTAATCTGAATATATTTATATCGACTGAGTGACCTTTTTTATACGTGTCCAATTATCACATTTTCTTAAAGTAGAGCATGCTGTATTGTCTCTGCACAATATATCCGTATTGAAGTTAAATATAAGTCAAAGTAATCGAAAGATCGATAGTTTAATTTAAGGTTAAAATGAAAATCCTCAAATTCTAGTTTTAGTTTAATTCACGATCGCGTGATTCAGTTGTCTGATACGCGCAATACAGTGCTTTGAGATGTTTGTGAATCGGAATGTCGCAGCAAAACGCCAAGAGCATCTGTCATCCGTATGCGTACTGTAATTGGATTTTTTCCCACACACGGACTGTAGATAGAAAAATGTAGTGTTATTTTTATTGCCACACATTTATATCGGTTTCGTAACATTAGACTTATATAAACAGTTCGTCCGTATTCGCGTGTGTACCTCGAGAGCTTATTATAATGAATTTGTAATAGTATCGACATTAAATATTTTCATAACCCGTTCAATATGTTAGATGTTCAGACACACAAATATAGTGTCATCCGTAAAATTATTCGCAATATGATTTTTCTTTCTTTTCTGGCTCAAATGCTGTATCCGTTATTAAAAAACGAAGGAATAAACCTCTTCAAAGTCAAAAATAAGACAATTTTCTTCTATAAAAATAATCTATGTTTTATTATGACTGCAATCGTTTTTTTGCCTAAAATAATAACTATAAAATTGCCACTGCTGTGTTTCTTATTTAAGTGTTTAACATGTTTTCCTCTTTCTCGGATGAAAGTGAACTAAGGAAAAAGAATAGAGTCAAGGTCAACGTAAATATAGCGACAATCTAGTCTTTTGTTTTCAACTCTCGACAGCGAAAAAGTTTTTCTTGGGGCATTTTGTTACTCTTGTAGCATTGTTACTCCGATTTTTGTAAATATATGAATTAGAATGAATTAAAGGTGTTTTTATGTTTAACTTTAGGTAATTGTTAGAATCGTTTGTTATACATATAATACTATACAGACAGTTGTTTGGTACATATAATACTATACAGACTTCACGAATTTTTGAAGTGGAAACTTGAATGGGAACATTGGACAATTTTGGATTGCGAAAAATTCACATGTTTACATCACTTATGTAGGTACTAACTAATGTCGAGCGTTTAGTGTTATTGACTTTGGTGACCTAAAATTTTTATAATAATATATGGGTAATATATGTATAATAATACATGTGTGCGAAGGTTGTCACGCTAATTCTTACAATGGCTGGTATTTTCGCACAAATTTTGACTGAAGGCAAAAATATCACACTTCAATCACAAGTCATATAAAATGTTTAATAGCTGAGTCAATGAAATAATACAAAAACAACATTTTTTTTAATGTTTAAAATTCAATAAAGTTACATTTATTTCTAGAAAAATTATATCGCTTTGAATTAAACTAGGCGGTCTAAACTACAAGTAAGGCAACTTACTTTTTAAATGTAATGCTTTACAGTTTACTTGGGAGATTAGCGATTATTTGAAGACGATTAGGAACCGGCACCGTTATACAAAATAGTTTATTGTGCGTAGCGCTTTATTTTGCAATCACGTGGCCACGGAGTGACTCCAACTTTCGAGAAATTATAAGTGAAATATTATGACAAAGTAAAAGTATAACCTTTGAATAAATTCAACTTTTTTTATTACACACTAAACGTTAATAATTATTTTTATTATTACCAACATATCGGTTGTCGTTGAATAACCTATAAAATTAAGTTTGTGTTTTGTATTCTCAAATATACTTCGAAACCATGAGGAACTGATTGACATTAAAGCGTTTATAAAAGTTTTTTTTTTCAAATACGTCATCAGTGATGCAAAAATGTCTACCGGCAAGTCTACTAGGTTATTTGCCGACAGGGCTCTATAGGCTTACTATCGGTAAAATGCATTCGAAATTGGACGATCTAACTCCACGCCGCTTGATTCCGCTGCCATGCAATACAGCTCAGCACTTTTCTATTCCTCTTTCTTGTAAAGATGTTAGTTTATATAAAAATCTATTATCTATTGTTGTTGAATTTGGCTGACGGGAATTTGCGCGAGCACCCTGTATGCGATTTCTTATGGAATGAAGGAAGAATATGACGGTTATGTTGATAATACTTTTTTTTATTTTCTCCCTGTAGTTCTAGTAACGTAATTAAAATGAAAACATAAATGTCGTCCTATTAGCGTAGTGGTCAATGAATTTGTCTCTTGTACCATAGAGTTTATACAGACATAATGTTTTTCCGGGTGACGGTCCCGAAAAAATATTATGTTATAAATAAAGTATTTTTCCAGAGGATTTTGTAAATAACTGAATAGTATAGATATTTATATACTTATCAATAATGTGCAAGTACTTACAATATAAATCGTACAATTTATGCGTTATTTAAGATTAAAAATGGAAACAATGATAAAATATTCAGGGTTTTTCTTCATATTTACATATAAGATACGGAATAAATTTTTTCTAAGATCATTTTCTTTGTAGGCGGTTGGTAGGTTTATCAATTATTATTAAAATGTAATAAGTATTCAAATAGAAGAGTAAACTTAATATAGAAATCTTCTTTCTTATTTTAATACTATTTTATTACGAATTGACTCTCAAGCACTTATACAAACTATATATCATGTTTAAATATTGTATTTAAAGCGAATCAAACGATAAGTAGGTTATTTAATACAATTTTCACCATTCACCTTACTGTCAGCAGCAGTCGTTGAAATGATTTTAACAATTCCGAGTTAATTGGAATCGTTGTAGCTCTTAATTAACCAATATTATTCACAAAGCCATCCATTACCATTTTCCAGATTTCAATCTTCTGTTCATTGTAAACTTGAAGTAACCTTTTAACTTTTGACCGTTTAATTATGCCTTAAACTGATTAAGTATTATAATATTTCACAAGCCCATTACTTATTCATCATCCTCTCCCATTTTAGCTGCAAATCCAGCTCCGGCGATTTTAGTATTCCGTTGGGGCGCGTTGTTTATAACATAAACTAGCATTTCAACGGCGGCTTCCCTGGGAGATTTATTCGCGCCTCTCGCCTACACGGGGCCTTGTAATTTTAATCTTGTTTATCGTTCTCGGCGCTATCAGGGCGCTTTTCTTTTGTTCCATGTCAAAAGCCGGGATTACCTGAAAAATTTTTTTTGCTGTGGTAATTTTATTATTACTTCATTATCCTTTTAAAATAAACTTAAAGTATATTACGAGGAGCAACTATGTTATTGTTTTTTTTATCCGTATGGTAAAATTATGTACATGTAAAATGCATAAAATTTCTACGAATGCTTGAGCTTAATTAAATAAGACTACAATGACAGAATGAACGAATCAGAAATATATTATAGGGTATGCAGCTATGACTAGTCGCAAACAGAAAATATTGACTAAGTTATATTATAAGGTGTTTCAACCTCATGGTAAGTTGAACCAATTATCGTTTTTGTTAAATTGTCTGTTGTATAAGAATTCTAACGATTTTACCTTGATCCTAATATTTTAACTATTACTGAACTTGAATATTAACAACTATTAGAACGACAAGCAGCAATAGTGGTTATATCACCGTCCGGGAACGCAGTCGAAATCCAAGTGACCACCGCTCCATAAGACCATGTGTCCCTTAGCTCGAGTGATAACGTCATAACCGGTATACAGTGTTGCCAGCGCCAACAGTTGTTATATTTGTTCCAATATTTTTAGGTATTCTATACATAGTTAGCCGAGATTACGGCTAACACAAGGTTACCTAAAAAACTGTTCTTTCCCAAGTTTAGTTTCCCAGCACGAAAACATTAAAAGCCCTCGACAGCTGCGCGAGTTGCGATATGATTGCACAATCCGAGTGAGCGTAAAACGGGGAGTGATTTAATGATGGCCCGTCTGCACCATTCGTTTCATTCATTCGTTCCGCTCCGCAATCGAACAATGCCGCAGCCCTGAAATTATGTTTAGCTTACAACCAACTCGGCACCGTTATAATATCAGTTTTAAACAATGCTATTCACTATCACATTATTATTTATGTAGTTTTCGTTTGTAATCTTTGATTATATACACATCTAGATTCCTAGTATGGATGTCACGATGTCACAGTCGCAATGAACCACCGTCCAGTACGTTTTGCGCGACATAGAATGAACTGGAATTTGGTATTTGTAT